ATGGTTGATTTTCACCTTGTGCTTGATGCCGTCGTACAGCTCAAAGTTGTAATTCTCCAGCGTGGTGGAGCTGCGCGAGGACAGGCCGTTGTAGGAGCAGGTGCAGTAGAGCAGCAGGCCGGCGCACACCGCCCCCAACAGGACACCCAGAGAACTCATGACGATGATGGTGACCAGGATGGGGTCCAGCGTTAGCAGCCAGGCATTGTCTTTCTCAGAGATCCGTGTCACCGGAGGCCCCCGCGAGGGCCCAGGCGTGGTCCATGCTGAGAATGGAAAGCCTGAGGGAAGAACAGAAGGAGAACACTTTAAAGCATCTGTAATAACAACCTAACAAACCAAAGTCACACCAAGATAATATGGGCAACATACAACTTACATACTTATCTATGATATGGGCAAAAAATGAACCAATAAACTATAATAATTTGGTTTAAAACAGGGCTTTACCTTGGTCTATGTGGTCTCTGTCATGGAACAGGGGATTGTTTCCAAATTCAATAGGTCTTCTCTCTAAATGGAAAAACACAAGCAGGGAAACATTTAGGGGAGTTCAAATAAAGAGACCACAAAAATAAATAAAAAGAACAACCTCATGTGTTTTTGCCAAATGAGTCAGTGCTGCCTGCTATGACACAAGCACTAATGGCATGAAAACATGAGGCAATGCAGAATAAGCGGCTTCAGTAACGGACTGTTTATTTGCTGTTCACTGAAGCCCTGACACATCTGCAGTGAATTGTAAAATGCAGAAGTAGGGAAGTAAGCACCATCAACATCAAAAAATAACGGTGTATACAAGGTCAACTACAATCAACTAAATGCACCAAACGCAGGTCGCGGTAAATCACTACAAAGCCCAGTTTGTAGAAAAATATCACTTTATTATTACATTCCGCACAACATTTTCCAAGACCATGAAATTCAACAGGCTAAAATATTCCTCAAATCTTTTGAAACAGGCTGAAGTGCAGTATGAGAAATGGCACATAAACAGACAATCACAGTCAAGGCCCAATGTACACGAAAAGAGGACGCAGGAGTACACAGTCACAAACTTTTCAGAGCCTTCACCAAAACCATGGATTCGCAGCAGAAAACAAAATATGATACACATTACCAGCTCATGTTCAGTAAACATGACTGAACCAAAGTAAACTCCTAACACTACATGAAAGTTGGGTTTAAATTCCTGTAAAGGGATTTCTAAACCTGTTGTCACCAAAAAAATCACATATCCAAGTCCATATCAGAAAAAAAAAAAATATATTCATAAAGCAAATTATATTCCTCTAAAGCAACACTTCAGATCTTTGCCTCCATGTCCTCCAAGCTATGAGTTTTTATTTTATTTTTTTTTGTGTGCTGGCACTACCAGAGACAGACTCTTGGCGCTGCGAGGCCACTATGTGGGCTGAAGGGCCCTCCTAAGTGCTTTTGCTCATTAATATTATTTAAGGGACAGCAAAAGGAAAGAAAGAATGCTTACGGCAGGCTTAATAAAACGTAATCAGACCCATTATGTAATTAGAAATATTAAGAGCTTCAAAGAAATCTCACAGGAGGCAGCTGCAGCTGATTTAAAAGCACATCATGACCGCCAGATTGCGTTTTTTTGCAAACATTTCGGTTTCAAGGAAAAAAAATTGCTTCAGAAGATCATAAATAAAACACAACGAAAAGCTGATATTCCTGCTGGAAAATCAAATACTTTAAATGAATTAAGATTGGGTGGTCTGGGTTAAATACCCTATGTTGGTTTATAAATTAATCATACAGGCCTGTGAGCTGGCGGAGGCTGAAATGAGAAGGAACAAGAGAAGGAAATGGAAGATAGAGGATGGTTTCTATCTGGACAAAACGAATTTGACAGTGAAAAAATGGAAACACTATAGTCCCTCAAGTTCTAAGTATTAACCAATTAAGTGTGAGGTCCAAACTCCAAAACCTTCAAAGTACTAGTTAAACATTTTAAGTAACATGATGGCAGGTACTGCTTAAACATGCTTAAACATAAACTTACCCAGCTAAAACCTAGAAATACCTCTGAATACCTGTTTGGTATTTCAATGTAATTCAGTTTGAATGCCTTGGAACTTACCATCATTTTACTAAATTAATTACCTAGTACTTTGAAGTTCGTACCTCACAGTTACCTAGAACTCAATGGACTAAAAAAGAATCAACATTATTACATAAGAAATACAGTAATGTGTATAACTTAGTGAGTTTGATGGCATTTTTTCAAAGTAAGGGATAAACAAGGTATAAGAAAATGAGGAAGTGGAGAGCAGAGAGAGAGAAAGAGAGAGAGAGAGAGAGATGAAGGCTCTCGGCCAGCTTTAGTGCTCCTCTCACGGAAAAATGTCATTGTAATTTCAACTTTAAACCCACCCAAACGTCTTAAACAATAGCCCTAATGACAGCCTGTAGCACGCATGATAGGCGGCCTGGCTTCATTACTGTGGCTTTAATTCAGTTAACAAGGATGTACTGTATGCAGGGATTAGAGAAGAGAAAGAGATGGGAGAAAACGAAAGAGAGAGAGAGAGAGTGAGAAAGCAGAGCGAGAGAATACTCCTCTCTATCTTGGCTTCGTCACGGGTCTGCCAGGTCAGGTGCTTTCTCTGGCTGCCTGTGAGGGGCTTTCATGTGCTTTTGTGTTCTTAAACAAACCCCTTCAGACTCCGGGCCGAACCGGAGCGGGCCTATCTTTAGAGTGGCCTCTCGCTTTGATCTCTCCTTCCATCTCTCCACACATTCTTTTGTGAAGAGCAGATTAATGGGGCGAAAATGGCCAGCGTCTCCATGATGGAGGATTATTTTCACCTATTGCCAGATGGAGGACATAACAAGATAGTGGGATTTGCTTTCTCCTTTAATCCTCGAACGTTTCGGATGCTGCCAAAACCTGAAGCGGCTGCCTGACAGGCTTCTTCTTCTTTTTAATGACGGATGGCGCCTCAAACTCTTTATGGCTAAAGAGGAACAATATGTTTATGGAGAGGTTTTGGGTGGAATGTCCATGAATCTCCCTCTAGGCTGTGTATCTTGGCTGCTTTATCTGTTTGTTCTATATATTTTGAAAGCCTTGTGATTCGCCCTAGACATGAGATCAGTACATTCTTGGATAACGATCCTTGGGCCATCACTGACGTTCCAATGTTACACTGAAATTTGTTGGAGTATTAAAGGGGAATTCTACAGATTTGTCAAAATTTCTACGTAATTAAATCACTAAGATACTAATAAAGTCATTCAGAATGGTTTGATGTGAAATGTGCACCTCTAGAGGAATTTAAGAAGTCAGAATTGTTCACAGTGGTGGTGACAAGAACCAGACATGTCTCAAAGCTCCCTCACAGAAAGTTATTACATGAAATGGTTTTGAGTGTATGTATTATTTAAAATTCATTCATGATGGAAAGGTACATGCGGGCAAAACATTATTAATATATTACCATTATCAACATTACACTGAAAACCAGTGAACACATAGGTTCACTGGTTGTTGTGCATAATAAATAAATAAAATGAGTATATTTGTGTTGTAGATATTGTGACCCCTGGCTCTTATCACCACCACTGAGTTGTTAAGTTTCTCTCTAAGTTTCATCCACCATTGTATATCAAAAGTATCTGAGTGACTTTGTTTACATCTCAGCAATTGAATTATGCTGAATCATGTTTGAATGATTGCAAAAATACAGTGTAAAGCTACGAGATGCTTCAGAATGAACGTTTTACAGTACGCACATCGTCAAACATCAAGACTGGTATGCGATATAAATGCATTTCCTGTACAAAAAAGTATTTCTGTATATTAAAGATACAGACTTGCAAGGAACTATAAAGAGAAAAGTTTCAGTTTTAACACAGAAAGATGTGGAGTAGAGACAGAAAGTAGGGACTGCAGTGCTCTGCAGTTTTGACACATATGGAGCTAGTGAAATTTCTTACACTCCCCAACCACTGTCAAACGTAAAGCACAGCAGCAAAGCTGCACGTTCCCTGCTCGAGTTCCACTCTCTGCTCCTGAAGAAAACCAAGAGTAGAAAAAAAACACAGCCAATAGCAGGTAAACCAGCAAAAGAAACTAAAAGAAATGTTATCACTGGCTTTCAGAATAAGCCTAACAATCAGTGCATCAGTCATATGCATGTGCATGTCATTTCATTCAGCCTTTCAGTTTAGCGACCATGACAAATCAAGTTGGATATAAAAATATTACAGAAAATAAGTAGCATATAAAGAGAAAAGTACATTTAGTAAAGTTTACTGAAAAAGTGAGGCTCTATAGTGACTGGCATCGAACAGCCCTGTGCCACTCGTAAGTTTAAGGCTAATGACGTGACTGAAAGATAGTGGGCTTCTCAGAGGTGTAGACTGGCTAAGGCAGGGTCACATGACTTTTGCATATAGAAGAAAGAAAAAAATCAACCCTCTTTAGAGAGTACATGTACCAAATGAATTTATATAGAATTTCTAAAATTTCCAATTTACACACAGACATTTCTAGATCATTCTTCATAGACCCGTTTACACCTGAGCGTTTCATGCATCTTGAATATCAGGATTCTATCCGGATAGAGATGATCCACATAAAAATGGGATGCTTTTAAAACAGATTTAAATTCAATCACTAAATTTATGAGGTGCTTTTCATAGCCAGATGTTCAAATGTGAATGCATTCGTCTCTCCAACCCATACATGGCATCCATAACCTCGCCCAGTACTGTGACTGCGCCTCCCTCTGCAGTTCAGCATATAGGGGTACAAACAGCCACTGTACTGACACCACTAAACAAGCAGCATCGCTGATCCCTGCCTCTCTACAAAGTGTTTTTACGCTTACGGTCCATGAACACATGAAGCTAGTTATTCTAAACAATGATACAAATTTGTGATCTTTTGAATGAAACAGGTAAGAAAAGCACAATTGATTGGTTCTGTATTTAAGTATATATATATATATATATATATATATATATATATATATATATATATATATACACACAGTGAAGCCCGAAATTATTTGTACCCCTGGCAAATTTCGGCTTAAAGTTATTTTTATTCAACCAGCAATTTTTTGACCGGAAATGACACAGGCATCTCCCAGAAAATAATAAGACGAAGTACAAGAGACATCATTGTGAAAAAAAAAAAAATTCTCAGCTTTATTTACATTTGAACAAAAAGTGGCATGTCCAAAATTATTCATATCCTTTGCAAACTGTCACAGTCTATGGGAAAATCCAAATTTCTATACCATTTCAAATAGTCCAAGCTGTTTTAAAGCATCCTAATTACCCTGATTCATTGGGAACAGCTGTTTTAATCAACTCAACAGGTGACAGACTAAGACAAAGGAGCTCACTAAGGACCTGCGGCTGCGCACTGTGGCTGCTCACAAGTCAGGAAAGGGCTATAAGGCCATATCTAAATGTTTTCAAGTTCCAGGGGCAACAGTGCAAAGTATTATTCAAAAATACAAGACATTCCGCACTGTGGAAAATCTCAGAGGATGTGGTCGGAAGCCAAAAGTGACACCTGTGCTGGCCAGGAGGATAGTGAGAGAGGTGAAAAAGAATCCAAGGATCACCACCAAGGCCATCCTGGTGAATCTGGCCTCTGCTGGTGGCAACGTCTCAAGGCAGACAGTCCAACGGACACTGCACACTGCTGGGTTCCACGGACACAGACCAAGGAAGACGCCACTTCTCCAGAAAAGGCACACAAAAGCCCACTTGGCCTTTGCAAATACTCGTCTGGACAAAGAAGAAGATTTCTGGTCTTCTGTTTTATGGTCAGATGAAACAAAAATTGAATTGTTTGGCCACAATGATGTATCCTTCATTTGGCGTAAAAAAGGAGAAGACTTCAACCCTAAAAACACCATCCCCACTGTCAAACATGGTGGTGGGAACCTAATGATTTGGTGGTGTTTTTCAGCCAGTGGACCAGGGAACCTAATCACAGTGAATGGCACCATGAAAAAATGGTGAAAAAATGTAAAATGGTTGGCGGACAAAAACATTAACGTTTTGCAGTGGCCCAGCCAGAGTCCTGACTTGAATCCAATTGAGAATCTGTGGAGGGAGCTAAAGATCAGGGTGATGGCAAGGAGACCCTCCAATCTGAAAGAGTTGGAGCTCATCGCTAAAGATGAATGGGCAAAAATACCAGTGGAGACAAAAAGCTGGTCAGCAATTATAGGAAGCGTTTGATTGCTGTAATAGCCAATAAAGGCTTTTCTATTGATTATTGAGAAGGGTATGAATAATTTTGGACATGCCACTTTTTGTTCAAATGTAAATAAAAGCTGAGGAATATTTTTTTTCCACAATGTGTCACTTCCGGTCAAAAAAAATTGACATTTTATGTTTAATTCAATTCAGCAAATAAACAGTAATTGTGTATTAAAATGAGCAGATGTGTTCTCTGCAGAGGATGTGTTAAATTATTTTCTCAAAATCAACAAATGTAATTTGACAGAGGTGACCAAACTTTTGCATATGACTGTATATGAGCTGATCTGAGCATCTGCCATACGCAGAACTGTAAATGTAACCACAGCAAACGGATGTCAATCTGACTAAACAAAGACTTGTTTGAATACCAGGTGTGAATGCTTGAGGTTAAAATCTGATCAGGTTACAATCCAGATTCAAGTCACATGAAATGACCATGTGTAAACAGGGTCTTAGATAAAGACTTGAGGCAGGAAACAGGCTCAATGGAAAAAGGGAACACTGTCAGTGCTTTAAGTTTGGGGTGCCAACCCCATCCTTACACAAACACACACACTTACTACAACCACCCACCCAGCCACGCACACACACACATGCCCCAACAAGGCACGCAAAGACACAGATTCCTTCCAAGAAACCAAAGGATTTGTTACACCGATGCTTGCCATAGCCCGAATGCATCCCTTTCACTGTCTTTCATTTTGCCACTTATGCTACCTCTTGCTTTGCATTTCAAGAAGCACCTCTCTACAAACTAAGCTCATCAGAAATGTGCGTGTGCATTGTGCAGTCCACATGCAAATGCTGCCACGTGACACAGCAGTATCTTTCATTCCTCTTGTATGCTGTCTCTTTTTTCTCCCCGTTCTCTGTGTCTCTTCCTCCTGCTTTGGCAGCAATGGTGGCCTTTCTCCACTGGGCAAAAGGATTGGTCACAAGCAGGGGATTAGAACCCTGCAGAGTCAGGTTCCCATCGAGAGACACACGCACACACACAGAGACACGGAGGTGGCTTCCTGTCACTCAGGATTGAGGCTGGATGCTTGTCTCTTCTTTCCGGTAAGCAAACGGCAAAGCTGAAACTGCGAACACAGTGCAAAAGGGGTTCAAGAGGGCAGCATATCCACGGCTCTGCTGCTTGAGCGCGTCCTTTTTTTTCCTTCCCTCCATTCGATTAGCAACTAAACACTTTCAAAAAGTCTCCATACGCCAGCGGCAGAAGCCTCCCAATCCTCCAAAGGGATCCTCCAAAAAAGAAAGAAAAAAAATCCCTCCTGAAGAGCCCTGCACGAGCATCGGCAGGGTTTCTGTGCCTGTCGGTAGTTACAAAGCAGCAGAGAGAGAAAGAGAGAGAGAGAGAGCCTTAGTGACCCCTCCACAGTCTCCATCTCTCTCTCTCTCCTCAGCATTGCGAGCATGGCTCGTGCTTTTCTAGTCTAATGGTCAGCATGGGCTCCACCCCGGGCCCTGCCGAGCCGCTGCCTGGGTAGTGCGTGCTCTGGTAGGCCACTGAGTGCTGGCTCTTCTTGGCGGCCAGGTGGTAGCGATGGCAGCACAGGGCCATGACCAGCGCCACGGAGGCCAGCAGCAAGAGCGCCCCCCCTCCGGCTATTACGTAATACCAGTAGGTGGGCATGGGCTGCAGAGACACCGTAGTGTCCACAGTGGGGTCACTCCTGCCAGGTAGGGCTCCCCCTGGTGGAGAGACACAGAAGAGTTGGCTTGGGGTAGAGAAGCATGCAGACTGCAGAGCTTATAAAGCCAAGCTTTGATTTTCGCATGATCTTTTTTTTTTTAATTTTCTTGGCTCTGATTGGCTGCTGCACAGAAAACGAAACAGACAGTTGCTGCACACAGACAGGCAGATGCGCATGCATGTTGCCTTGCCCTAGCCCTGTACATGTATGGTCAGTTTAGGCTGATTAATTTTTGTATGTTAGAAAATATCTGGTTAAATTTTTGGAGGGAACTATTGTTCTTGCAGATGTTAATTTAATACACTTTAAGTAAATGACATTTGAGCATAGTTATTAGCTATAAAATGTCTGAAAGGGGTGATTGGCTGATTCCTCAGAGGGAATGGAAATGTATAACTGCGTATCATCAGCATAGCTTTGAAAACTGATATGACATTTCCTGATGACATTACCTAAAGTTGACAAGTGCAAAGAGAAAAGCAAGGCCCTAAATTTAAACCTTGTGGGACTCCACAAGAATTTTTTGATGAATGATTTCCCAGTGAAATCAAAAACTGTCAAATATGAAAAAACGTTCTAAAACTATGCCTGAGAGACCTGCACAGGATTAGAATCTTGTGATCAACTGTATTAAAAGATGCACTAAGATCCAATAAGACCAAAATGGAAGAAATCTGGGAATCAGCACAGCACAAATATAGCTATTTGATGTTTTGATTCTGATCCTAGATCACAGGAATACTGTACTGTTTCTAGCTAGAAACTGCTAGTATGTTGCAGGCAGAACTGGCAAAAATAGACACAATGTGTATTTTTGTGCTTCATGTGTGCATTACCATGGCACCGTGTGACGCATGCAGCTAGGGTGAAAGGCTACACTGATAAACATAGGTGTTCACTGCAGGCAGTGTTTCTAAGTCATAAAATGAGTATCTAAGACAAAGGGAAAGTTTTCCAGACCCAGATCAAGACTTAAGTTAAAAAGGATTTTTTATGATGAAAAACCACTGGTATTTCAATGTAGTCAAATGTTAGACTTCCATGTCAGAGAAAACAACCCAAAGTCTTATATCAGCTCATATTTCACCAAAAAGAGATCTGGGTGTGTGTGTATGTCTGTGTTTGGGAAAGCGTGCACATGCATACACTAAAGTTCTCTGAAAATGTATTTTACTTGGATGTATGTACATTTATGAGTGTGTGTGTGAGTGTGTGTGTGCAGGCTGGTGTTTTTCAGGGCTGAAACTTCTGTTTTCTTGCATGCATGGATCTGTGCCAGCTTCATCTGCCTCAAGCCAAACTCCTCCATGAACCCCATCCAGCATTGCAAGGAAACAACTCACCCATCTCACACACACAAACACACACACACACACTCACTCAGAATGTAACAAACTTCTGCCACTGACGGCCCTCCACCACCTTACTCTAATCTAATCTCCTGTCTCTGAACTCGGAAATAAAACAAGCGTGTAATTTGGGTTGTCTGTGCGTCCGGCTCATCTCTCCTGAAGCTATCCGAGGATATGGGCAGCCAGCGAAACTAAAATGAATCCCACTAAGACGAAGCGTCAGTTGCACATTTCTTCGAGTGGAGATGACTCCATATATGGTCAGAGAGAGAGGGTGAGGAGGAGAAAGAGCGAGAAAGATGCAGAGAGATGGAGAGCCAAGAAAAGTGAAAGAGAGGCAGTGGAAAAATACACAGAGCGAGTGATGACACTAGAGGAATAAGTCATTGTGGAGCCTGACATTAAGGGGGATTATGGCAGCCACCATCCACACCCCTCTCACACTTCACACCATAACGTCTATACACTTACTGCAGATTACTGCAAGCTCACTAACAGAACAGTTCAGGGGCACAAAGCACTACGAGCGAAAAGTTTGATGGATGGCACTGCCATCAAAAATTTGAGGACACCATGCTTTGTTTTAAATACAAATGAGCATGTTTCTGTCTGCAATTGCTTAACATACTCATGTCCAGCCAGGTTTATTTTGAGGAAAATAATAATATTTCACCACAATATTTGTGACAGTGCTAATTTGGGACTAATGCCAAACCCCACACATTTTATCCCATTCTTGTAATGTCATCTGCACTTAAACCTTTGGGAATTTTAAACCAACTATGGGCTAACAGAGTTTGAGGAGTGCTTTTAACAATAATTTGGAAAAGAAAACTGTCAAATCATTATTAAGACAAAACCAGCTCTTCATACAATGGAAGACACTTTGATGAGTTCTACAAAATGTATAAGTAAATTCCATTTAAATTTCAAAAGATGGCAAGGTGTCCCCAAATGGTTAACAGGCAGTAAGAAAGTTGATACTGTATCTGTACGTAGGCCACAACCCTCACATCACCACACCAACCACTGACAGCAAGCATCAACATCAGCCACCAACACCACACACCACCAAACATCACCAAATATTTTAAATGGAGCTTCTGGTGCATGCTGGGATACTGCCCATGCTTAGAATGGCAAGGTGATGATGACAAAAGTGATGATGCTGGAGACAATATTAAAAGTCGCTCAGCACACATCTCTCACACTTCTGGCCAGATTTAATGGACTTGAATTGGCCTGAGGTAAGTGTGTACTTGTGTGGCTCATAAGCAGTGGCTCCATCACACTTAAAAGTGCAAAGCGGGACCAGCGCAGGGTCTCCTCAGAGCCAGTAAGCTGCCGCAAGCTGTGCTGGGCAACAAGCAGGAAGCATGGACATCTGCACAGGAATATGACAGACATTTGCACAAGAATATGGCAAGACGACTCACCAGTCATCTCTGGAGGGAAAGCCGGGAAAGGCTCTGAAATCAGAGAAAAGAACAGAGAGTGTTCAATGAAAGATTCAATTCGATTGTCATTAAACATACGAGTTCAGTTATTTTCAGGTGTATTAGACAATATACACAAAATATTTGTAATGTTTGGAATTCATATCATAGTGGCAAATCACATGAAGTATCACAAAAGTGGCAAACTCTCGCAGTACAAAAAAGTGTGCAAATGTTGGCCTTACAGTACAGATAGGCTGCCCTTACACTGTAAAAAGTGTGCCAAATTTAGCCTTATAACTTAGAAAGTGTGCAAAAGTTAACCTTGCAGTAGAAAAAATGTATAAAAGGTAAGCTTACAGTGCAAAAGGGTGCACAATGCACCCTTACAGTCTTATATAAAAAAAGTTGCAAAAAGCAGGCAAAACTTAGCCTTGAACTATGAAAGTGTCAAAAATATAGCCTTACAGTACAAAAAGTGTGTGAAATGTAGACTTAGAGTACAAAAAGTTTGCAAAACTTAGCCTTGTAGTACAAAAGGATGCAAGAGGTAACCTTATGGTACAAAACGTGCAATAGTTAGCCTTACAGCCTTAACAACACAGAATGTACAGTAAATTCATAGTGCGCAATGTCATTCTTGATGCTTTTAAGTGAGTCCATTCACAGTATGTAACATACAGTGCAGTGTAGTATATAGATAAGTATGTAAACAGGTCAAAGAGTCTCAAGTCACTTGCGATTGTGCCACTAGTATAGTGTTATGATAGGAGTTCTATTCTGGCACACGCAGACTGACTTTGATTAAAAATACACATTGATCATTGGCAGTCCTTGATTCTGTTTTGTAAAAGTGAATACTTAAAAACAGATGCTAGTTGACTAGAGCATAAAGCATCCTTCCCTTCTGGAAGCCCTTCAGCTCCTCACAAACACATTACAGTGGTGGAGAAGGCTAAGCTGGTGATGGGGTTTGTGTGAGAGAAAGATAGGGAGAGGAAGAGAGAGAAAGAGAGAGAGAGAGGAGACTGTAATTGGGCTCTGTGTAATTTGGCAGAGAGTGGAGTGTTCTGATCCACGGCAGTGATTGAGGGGCGCTCTGCACATGCTCAGAAAACAGAAAGCCTGTTTAGAATGGTTGGAATGCAGACACAATTAAAAGGAACGGTGCAGAGAGACCAGCCTGGCAAGGGTGCAAGGGCTGGGGTGTGCATGCTGAACAACATTAATTGATAAGAGCGCTCCCAAAGCTGGGATTAGGAAAGGAAGGGTGTATGTAAGTATGTGTGTGTGTGTGTGTGTGTGTAGCTCTAATACCATGCTTCAATGCAACATAGCAAATAAACAAAGCGTCTTGTCAGGCTGACCTTTCTGTACATCCTACGTGTGACTGAAAGGTCTGCAGAGGGAAGCCCATGCTTTTCTCTTTAATAGGCATTCCTGCTACACACATGTACTGCTCATCATCAACGTGAATGAGCAGCTACAACGCTGCAAACATTCAGACTCCTCTGGGACATCTGAGTGTGTTGTATGCGTGTATAAAAATTTGAGTTTTGTGACCGACACGTCAGCTGTCTAGTAATTCCCTGCCTCAGCTCTGGAAGGCTCTGTTTACAAATAAGAGAAGAGAAGGGAAAAATCTGATGAAACATAGATTAGGATCAGAGCCCACAGGGCAAGTGTGGCCTACTTTCCAGCGTTCGGCGTGAACAAGGAATTTTAAAAGCGCCTTCCATCTACCCAATCTGTTTTTTTTTTTTCCCCCCAGTAAACGTTGGGCCTTGAAAGAAGAGAGTGTGACAATAGCATGGTGTGCCTGGGAGGGGCAAGGAGTGAACAGAGCGGCACAGCTAGAGCAAGAGAGAGAGAGAGTGATCTGGACTTACGAGTGCACTGTTCCAGCTCTGTCGTGGTGCTCATGTGGATGTTGTCGATCCAGATGTGGCCTCGGCTGCCATGCTCGAAGAAGCCCTCGATGACAACCTGATAAAGCACCAAGACAGGGAGAGAGAGAGAGAGGGAAGGGGGAAGCATGAGGAGCATGAGAGGTACAGAAAGAGAGAAAGAGAAAAAAGAGAGATGAAAGATAGGGGTGAGGGCTGGAGCAAAGACTACTAAGCAAAGATAGTTTCAGCTATTAATTAACGTCAACAACTAGTAATAATTAATATCACATTGGGCTCTGGTGCTAAAATAATAGCAATAAAAGATTAATAATAAAAGGTCAATGTAAGCAATGATACAAGGTATCCAAGAGTGTCATTGGGAGCCCATTTGCCAGGGGCCCCATTGTAACTGCCCCAACTCTACTGGCACATTTTTTCAATTATTATTAATATTATTATTAGTAGCAGTGGTAGTAGTAGTAGTAGTTGGGGTCATTTTATTTATATAGCACCTCTCAACAAGTTTACAAAGTGCTTTAAAAGGAAATTAGGTTCAAACAAAACATAATTGGAAAAAGACAACAGAATTTGACAAAGATAAAGCACAAATTGATGTACAGCAAACAGAATACAAAAAAAAAATAATAAAAAGACAGCAAAATAGAACTCTTTCCTATAGTAGTACAGTTTTCTTCTGGAATGCAGTGTAACATAATGTGTCTGAAAATTAAACTACTCCCATTTGAATGTCTGAATTATTAAGCACTGCTTTTCATACTTTTCTCTGAGTTAGCAGCTGAAAGAGGTCACCTCCTCACCTGGTACTCTTTGGGTGACCGAGGTAGAATGGTGCGTCCTTCTTTCCAGCTGTGGCCCTGCTCTCCTTTCAGTATCCACAGCAGGGCCTCGTCCTGGTTGTGATCTCGGATCAAAACCCTCAGTGTGCCCTGAGCCTCGCCCGTCAGCTGGTAGAGGAAAAGCAGACAGAGTGGGCCTCTCTCAGGCCCCACCGGTGGGCTCAGCAGCCTGGCTCGCTCATGTTCTGTCTTAGGACTCGCCTCCAAGTACAGAAAACTGCCATAATCTGCACATACAGAGTGAGAGCAGTGAGCATAGAGAAGGGAAGAGGACATGAGGACATGATGGGCTCTGCTGACATCATAGCAAGTCTACTCTTCTGGGAAGGCTTTATATGATGTGTTTGCCGCGAATGTTGCTGAAGATTTGATTGCATTCAGCCACAAGAGCATAAGTGAGATCAGGTACTGATGCTGGATGATCAGTTCTGGATCACAAACGCCACCCCAGCTCATCCCAAAGATTGCACTCCGTCGCTCTAGAGAATGGGCTTCCACTGCACAAAGCCCAGTGCTGTGGAATCAGGGAAGCTTATACAGTTGCATGTAAAAGTTTGGGCGCCCTGGTCAAATGACACTCCATTTGCAGAGAACATCTGAATGAACAATTGCTGTTTATTTGCTGCTGCATTTAACATATTGGAATAAAAATAAAATGTAGCCTGCGCAAAATCATGGCACATTTTATATTATACATTTTTTATTATATGTGAAACATGGCAAATAAATATAAATTGTTCACTAAAATTTGCAGAAAAGTCCCAACTAAACATGTTTATGTGATTTCTGAAACTATATCATATACTGCTATGAAACAGTATAAAAAATGGACAAAAGATACTTGATTACACTATTGCTTTTGGCTATGAAATGTATCTGTGCATTATTATGAATATGAGCTTCCTTGTTATTTGTATTACTCATTAACTACATGAGCCTCACAGTTCCTACGCAAACCTAAAGAAGCAAACTTCTGACGCCAAACAAGGCCGATCAACTACGTTTGAGGAAAGCGGAAAATTGTGTAAATGTGATTTTTCACTAAATCATTCCTTTATGTTTCTTTCTTCACACTGTCACTGAAAGAGCTACAGCAGTGGGCCCTTCACCAGCTGAGGGCTGTGGGGCACTGCTAAAACCCATGGGAGTGTCACTGTATCTTTCATTTGCACATCCGCCGCTATCATCAGACGATCTGTGCTAAACAGATCACAAGCTTCTAAGTGCTGCCGTCTATTTTTAGCCCTCTTTTCTTTGCGTCTCAGCATGGCACCATGACTTGAAGAACACTTCAGTTTATGTCCTATTTATGTTCTGGTGAACAATAAATAAATGATCAGGCTGTTTCTCTTCCTCAGTCAGCAGAGGAAACATGGAATGTGCTCTCCAAACAAAAGCATGAGCATTATTTTCAGATGAGGAGTGCTTAGCCTCGGCAAAATCAACTAGGCTACTTCTAAAGTGCAGATGACACTTCAGAGAGAGGAGAGGTTGAAAGAGAGGGAAACTAGGTTTGAGAAGAGGAAGGGAGGGAAGGGAAACATATAGTTCCTGAATTATCTGACTGGACAGCAGGACAGAAATAATCAACACTTCTCCCCTCTAAACATCCTCTTATCTCTGCTAGGTGCCACAATGCACACGCCAACCTTGCCTCCGACCTGTATCCTTGAATAATAAAACTAGCTGTACCCCTCAACCTCATGAAGCATACTGAATTCTTGCTTTAATATAACAGTAACAGGTCTGAGTAATCTACTGAATGTATAATTAAGCAGAAGAAGCCTTCCAATCTTTATGGAAGATTTATATGTAGGGAATAACAATGAATAATTGATGAATAAACATTTTAAAGAAGGCTCATTGTGGCTGGGAGGGTTTTCAGCCCAGCAGTCTGTTTGTATGGAAACAGCAGCGCAGGACAGGCTGGTCTATGACTTGAGCATTGAGGGAAACTTCCATGCCGGAGTTAATACAGCTGACACAGCTTTAACCCTCTTACTTCCACCATGGTGGGATTGTTAAGATCGCAGTGTCCCGTAATGTTAGTCCTAGTGTTCTAGAAGACCGCTCTACTTACGTTCATGTGCTTTATGGACGTGGCTGTTACTGAACCACTGAGTGAATGTGTTAAACAGGTCAGGTCAAAGTCGAGAGAGAGAGAGAGAGAGAGAGAGAGAGAGAGAGAGAGAGAGAGAGAGAGAGAGAAAGGGAAAGTCTGAGTTGAGGGAGTGACCTTGTTGATTTTGGAATGTTTTAAACAGACGTGAATTCTTTCCTCTCCGCTCCTGGTTCCCTCTTTAAAAGCCCACAGATGGAAAACAGAGCGAGAGCTAACTGTTCTGAAAAAAACAGTCAGCACAGAGGAGATCCTCAAGATCCGATGTATGCGTGTGTAGGGAAGTTTTTTTTTTTTTAAGAACTTGTCCCTTTGTTTCCTGAGGGATTTGGAAGAGTAAGAGTAGAAGTAACAAGGATGAAAGGATGGCCAGTGCAGACACAGAGGGAGAGCTACAGTGGCTATTTTCAGACCTCAGCTATCACATTAATTATACTTTAATAATTAGACAGGCTGCTGAAGGATGAAGTGTATGTGAGAGAAAACATGTGTATGTGTAATTTCACTGTGCTATCAGAAAAAAGGTCACTATGGTGGCATCCTCAAGAGACTAGGGTAGAACCCTCAAGGGTACATCTCGGTAATTGTACTTATGGAGCAAAATTGCCAATCGTCAAATTCTACAACAGTATATTTTTACATTCACTTCATATAGCGTCATATGTTTTGACCATTAACTCACTGCTCTTTAATGTATTTTTTCTACTTTAAAACATTATGAAAAGAAAGCTTTTATGCAGCATATTTTAAACTTATTTAAGGTATGCAATACACCTGAACAATATATAAAATAATCAGCACAATAATTTCCTGTTAAAAATTGAGTACTGTCTCAGCTCCAGCACCTACTCAAATATATTCATTCAGCACATTAGATGCTATTTTTATTGTACTTTCTAAGTGATTTTCGAAAACCTTAAACAAAAAGGTTAAATTTAGTAATATAATACTAAATAACAAAGCAGTATTGTGCACTCTGGGAATCTCTCCACAGAATCAGTGGGGATTTACTCTATTGTAGTTTAATGGCTTATTAATGCATTGTTTTAACAGCAAAAGGGAATAAAACACGATACGTACACATAATTTAATATTATTTATCACACTGTTTAAACTGAAATCATCTATAGTTCTCTATCAGTTCTCTTTCCCAAAGTGGTAAACATCATCTTTGAAGCTTCGTCATCAGCTTACTTGGCAATCATTGCTGATATCTGGATGCATCACTCAGTTGGCCAGGCCTTGTACACAAGTGAGCCCTAAGACCACTGTTGTACCTTTGAGGGGACATTTACATTGTTTGCACCTTGGTAAACAAAAATGAATCTGTACAGTCAGTATGACAGATAATACCAATTACAAAGCTGTATAGGTTTTTCAGCGATCCTCTATGCCATTCATCATTGGTCATTTTCTGATCACATGACCACTACTGACCGGATCAAATTTGAGCAGCGGATCATTCTCATCACAGCAGTGACACTGACTGACTGTACTGGCATGGTAGAGTTTGTGATGCTGGTGCAAGTGTCTCAGACACAGCAGCACTGCAGGAGGGGTTCACACATCAGTGTCACTACAAGGATGAGATTTGTCTGCCACCCAAAAACATCCAGCCAGGAGTAGTTCTGAGGTCAGAAACTGACCATTTAAGAAGACAATATGTTGCCTCTTTTTGTCTGCTTCCTTTACCTTACATTAGATACACTGATTTGACAAAGCATAGATTTCTGTATACACAGCATTTCACCAATTAAGCCTTAATGTAATGAAATGACTCATACTGTGCATGTATTGTAGCCACTGTAGCCTGTTCCCAATGCAGCAGGTCTCTTCCCCATCAACTTGCAGGGTTCAATGCTAAGTAGTGCTTATACCACAATGCTAAGTTTGTGCTACTGTTTCATTAGATGCACATGCATGTGGCTGTTATGTAAAAGGGTTCCCATACCATCGGCTCCCAGTTGCAGGTCCATACTGGGACTGGATGGACTGTGTAGTGCCCAGTTCAGGTCAGCTGTAGGATCATGAGTCCAGCCGCACATATTCTGCTCAAAATCACACAAACCGCCCAGAGCTGACAGAGTAGTGGGCACTGGGGAGAGAGAAAGAGAGAGAAAGAGAGAGAGAGAGAGAGAGAGACAAGATAAGTTACACTCATTACTTTCAGAAAACCCATATCCTGCAGTCTAAATTATACAATTATATACACACACACAGACACACACACACATACATAAGGAGTCCATGTTTCATGGCTTTGATCAATGCCCTCTGCCTCTGGCCTGTGAAATCCATATTCCTGTTCCAGAAACTGGACTCAACAGGCTCTCAAAGGAATGACTATCTCTCTCCCTCTCTCTTTCTCTTTCTCTTTCTTTCTCTCACTCACAAATATATGTGTGCAATACCTGATCTTAGCCATTTTTGGGCATGCTTGCTAAAACATTTCTAATTATAAAGGAATTCATGTGCATATTTACAGCGAAGTTCTCCAATTAAGCCAAAATGCATAAATAGCTGTCTTACATCATTTCTATTCCCAGCTTCTATTCCTCACTCGCTGTCAGCACTTCCTACCCGCTGCTCCTCAGCATGCTCATTCCAAACAACATCAAACACTTTGCAGTTTCATTGAATAGCTAATCTGGCTAGCACTTCAGTTATTTCTGTGCGCTCTGAGAATGCTGAGGTCTACCACCTTTCCTTCGTCTCTCAGCTCCTATCAGCTCTCTGTTTGTGTGGTCTGAGTGGGTGTGAGTAAGTCTGGCAGGGTCTGGGCATGAGCCTCCTCACTACAGTCTGCAAGCCATAATTACCAGGCACACACACTGAGAGGTATACTATATACAGTCTGACTGATTATAGTGAATACAAAGTCAGGAGCATTTGTCAGTCACCCTCTAGCCCAGAGCTGTCCAAAGTGGGGCCTGTAAGAACGTCTGATTTGGCCCACCAGCACATTAAAGTCTTACCCCTCTTTTAGAAAAACATATATTGTAGTGTTATAAAATAACAAATGACACTATACAGTTGTCACTGACTGAAATGCAGATGCAATACAGCTAGTACAGATTGTAATACAGCTTATATGCAAAGAAAACACTGGAGTATTCCAAGGAAAAAGTTTCTCCACGTAAAAAAATTCAGCCAAGAGCGTCTCTGTGGTTAGAAACTGACCATTCATGAAGGGTTAGAGGGTGGAGAATGCAAATTTTTCAAAGCAACAGATGGGCTAATAAGGCTCTAATTGTACTCCAGCAAAGTGGATTTACAAGGTAGGGGGTTTCTCAAAAAAAGAGGCCAATGAGTTCATGTATATGTTCACATGTTTCTATATGTATACTGATGTGCAAAAGCATGTCTTCTACCCCACTGTGCTGAGTGAGTATGAGGGCTGAGTAGCTATCTGCAGGTAGAGTTATTATGCAGCTCCTCAGAGCCTGCAGACAGGGAGGAAGAGAGAGCGAGAGCGAGAGAAAGCGAGAGAGAGCGAGAGCGAGAGCGAGAGAGAGAGAGAGAGAGAGAGAGAGAGGATCCAAGCCAAGCAGAGCTGCAATGGCCTCATCTATATGGAGCCCTGCACCAGTCCTCCATCAGCAATCAATCCAAACACAGGGGGCAAACACTGCCAGGCTGCTTAGCATAATGTTAGCACTCATGCTGCGTGCTCCTGCTCATCGGGACATAAGCCTCCACAAACGGAGGTGCAATCCATTATTATCACAGATGCAAGAGAGATAGGCTGTAGTTTGCTGCAATCATCTAGAAGAATTCTGTAAATAATAGAGGCTGTATGTCTGTGTACTACCATGCTAGGTCACCCATGCGTGCATGCAGCCACACAACAGATGCAAATTAGAAGCACAACTAAACACAAACAGCAGAGCTGGTGACAAAACCTCATTACTCACTGTCAGACTTGGGCAGGTATTGATTAGTCTGATTGGCATTGCTGATAGCGTTTATTGATAGATCTGATGAGGCGAGATCACTGCATGCCGAGAACTCCTTGCAGTCTCACTCACTGCTTTGGCAAATTTAGAAGTGTGCTGGAGCTTTTCAGCCTCAAATAGGTGCTGTGGGTGTTGCATGCCCATGACCAACTTTGACCAACTTTGAGAATATAACATGATTTGTGATATAGTAATATATATATAGTAATATATATATATATATATATATATATATATATATATATATATATATATATATATATATATATATATATGTATATATATAATACTAATATAATAAAACTAATACAGTAATATAACCAATTAAAAATATAATAATAGGGACCTACTCCTCATAACCTGCTCCTGTACTGTTTAAATTAAATGGTCTGAATCATGTAATTGCAAGTGCCAATCAGAAGGTGACTGAAACATGATTGTATTCTGATCACAAGACAACAGGTAATGACTAGCTAATTACACAGGTGACAGCTAGCTAGCAAACAAGCCATAGCCATAATGGTAACCATGACAAATCTTTAGTCTAGCTAGCAATAGCATGTTAGCTAGAGACCTTTTAGGCTAGGGAAAAGTCAGGTGCATGCAATCTGGTGTAAAATATCTAGCTAACACATCTATCAAAATCTTCCACAGACTGAAAATATTTCCATACGTAGTGACGTTATTATTTATTAGTTTTAATTATCACTGTAGTTTCACTGTGCTTACATTTACAGTTTTATGTGTTTGGACACTATGGGCTTTCTCCAATTTATGCAGGATGCAAACAGGCACCATTAAAGCCAAGCTCCATCCCTGCCTGGAGCATTTTGATTGGTCTGTAAATTTGTCACCCACCTGCTGCTCTGTGAGCCGTGCTGGTCTCTTCCTGCTGGGGCAGAGTTGGGGTGGCAGTATCAGGAATAGTAGTGGATTCTGAAAAAGAAAGACAGAGAACACATTTTTTAAAAGAGCTCTGGGGGAAAATAACCAAAAAAAAAAGTCAGTTATAGTAAGCGAAACTGAGAATCATGACCATGGAATAACCCTTTAAACTTTATACTGCCTGTAAATGAACATAGCTTCAAATATCAGCCAAAACACCTGGAGAGGTTTAATACTGGGTTACACAAAAGAAGCTTAACTTTTCACTCCTCCTACAGTAACAAATCTCCCTCTCCCTCTCTCTTTCTCTGTCGCTCTCTCTCTCTCCCTCTCTCACAAAAACATGCACGGTACTCCTGCTGCCACTGATGAATGCTCCAGCCTTAGTGACCTTGGAAAGCAGCTGTATCCACTACTACTACTATCACTACTACACACACATACACACACACAATCAGAGTACAAACTATGTACAGTTCATGTGCAAAACATAAAACTAGCATGCTGATACACAAAAACAAAAGGAAAAAAAATCAAAAACACACATACACACAGCTGGAAAACAATTCAAAGCACATGGCCCTCTGCAAGTGTTTAGTGAACACTAATGTGGGATTAAAACAGCCCTTATAGACCTGGTGGGAGAGGAAAGAGAAAGAGATGCCCTGTGAGTGATGTAAGGGAACATAAAGTTCTGTAGTTTGAGCAGCGTGAGTGAATATCAGTTACTACTTTCAAATCATGGTGCCAGAAACCAGCCTTACCGTCATTACCATCAGACCCTAAAACCAGCCTTACCTTCATTACCATCAGACCCTAAAACCAGCCTTACCTTCATAACCACCAGACCCTAAAACCAGCTTTACCTTCATTACCACCAGACTCTAAAACCAGCCTTACCTTTATTACCACCAGACCCTAAAACCAGCCTTACCTTCATTACCACCAGACCCTAAAACCAGCCTTACCTTCATTACCACCAGACTCTAAAACCAGCCTTACCTTCATTACCACCAGACCCTAAAACCAGCCTTACCTTCATTACCACCAGACTCTAAAACCAGCTTTACCTTCATTACCACCAGACTCTAAAACCAGCTTTACCCTTATTACCATCAGACCCTAAAACCAGCCTTACCTTTATTACCACCAGACCCTAAAACCAGCTTTACCTTCATTACCACCAGACTCTAAACCCAGCCTTACCTTCATTACCACCAGACCCTAAAACCAGCCTTACCTTCATTACCACCAGACCCTAAAACCAGCCTTACCTTTATTACCACCAGACTCTAAAACCAGCTCTTACCTATATTACCAAATGACTCTAAACCAGCTCTTACCTGCATTACCAAATGACTCTAAACCAGCTCTTACCTTCATTACCACCAGACTCTAAAACCAGCCTTACCTTTATTACCACCAGACCCTAAAACCAGCCTTACCTTCATTACCACCAGACCCTAAAACCAGCCTTACCTTCATTACCACCAGACTCTAAAACCAGCTTTACCTTCATTACCACCAGACCCTAAAACCAGCCTTACCTTCATTACCACCAGACTCTAAAACCAGCTTTACCTTCATTACCACCAGACTCTAAAACCAGCTTTACCCTTATTACCATCAGACCCTAAAACCAGCCTTACCTTTATTACCACCAGACCCTAAAACCAGCTTTACCTTCATTACCACCAGACCCTAAACCCAGCCTTACCTTCATTACCACCAGACTCTAAAACCAGCCTTACCTTCATTACCACCAGACTCTAAAACCAGCTTTACCTTCATTACCACCAGACTCTAAAACCAGCCTTACCTTCATTACCACCAGACTCTAAAACCAGCCTTACCTTTATTACCACCAGACCCTAAAACCAGCCTTACCTTCATTACCACCAGACTCTAAAACCAGCCTTACCTTCATTACCACCAGACTCTAAAACCAGCCTTACCTTTATTACCACCAGACCCTAAAACCAGCCTTACCTTCATTACCACCAGACTCTAAAACCAGCCTTACCTTCATTACCACCAGACTCTAAAACCAGTTCTTACCTATATTACCAAATGACTCTAAACCAGCTCTTACCTGCATTACCAAATGACTCTAAAACCAGCCTTACCTTCATTACCACCAGACCCTAAAACCAGCCTTACCTTCATTACCACCAGACCCTAAAACCAGCCTTACCTTTATTACCACCAGACTCTAAAACCAGCTCTTACCTATATTACCAAATGACTCTAAACCAGCTCTTACCTGCATTACCAAATGACTCTAAACCAGCTCTTACCTTCATTACCACCACACTCTAAAACCAGCCTCCCCTTATTACCACCAGACTCTAAAACCAGCCTTACCTTTAATACCACCAGACTCTAAAACCAGCTCTTACCTATATTACCAAAAGACTCTAAACCAGCTCTTACCTGCATTACCAAACAACTCTAAACCAGCTCTTACCTACATTACCACCAGACTCTAAAACCAATTCTTACCTCTGTTACTACCAGATTTTAACACCAGCCATTACTGCAATTATACCATTTGAGGCTGGTGTACCTACCAACTGAGCAATTGACAATACCTGTAGCACCAGTAAAGACCAACTGGAATGCCAGTACTAACCATACTAATCCCCCCACAACAACTCCACTGCAACACATCTAAGCTGAACTCACTGCTGTCTTTCATTCTCTCCACTTCCATGAGTCACACAGCTCATACACTGTCTTACAGCAGGTTCAGGCGTTCATTCCCTCTCTATGTCATTTCACCCCATCCTTTTCTCCCTAGAATGAAGTGGAGCAAGTAACTGCACTGAGAGTTTAACGCAAACCAAAACATGACAAGCCACTGCAGGTGAACAAAATTTCCAGTGTCACGACCTGCCCCACTATTCTCATGCTGTTTGCACTGTGCTAATGCGTTATGCCACAGCATGTTAAATCAGTCTCACCATCTCTCCTGCTTCCACCGCAGGCAATCTAGCAAGGGCAGATTTAAGAAAAACAAGGAGCTAAATGACTAATGATTGTCAGCTCTTAGCTTCATTAGTGTCATTACACTTTACAATTCACTGCTTAATTGGCAAATACGTGAGCGGCACTACTAATCCTGCTGACACTTCAGCGGAACATGAAAAACGGAGGCCAGCTATGTAAATATATTATTAATATCTATAAGCAGGAGGGTACATGAAAGAGGAGCCCCAGCTGGTTGTGTTTCTGACATTAAACTCTATTAATTTGATGCCCTTTACAAATGCAATTAACCCCACAGCAAGAACTGCATCTTGGGGAAGTGATCACAACCGCATGCAAACACACACATACACACACACACACACACACACACACACACACACACACACACACACTTCCTTTCTCCTTTCATAATTAGTAAGGGCAGGCCTACCCCATCGCATGTAGCCCCCCTGTAGGATTCCCACACTCCTGTCCCCTCTTGGTGTAAAGGTCACCTGTTGTCAGAGTGTAAACACAATGCCCTTTCAGACACTTTAGGCCTGTCAGTGCTGACAGGAGGACAGCAGAGGGACAATCTGCCACGTGAGAGCCACCGCCTTCACTGTCCTGCTGAAAATACAACCAGGCGCCCAGAAAAGAGTCCAGTAACGGACAACCTAGCCACGGCCTGCAGTCCACATATCTCAGCCGCAGTTCAGCAAGCAGAATCTCCAATCGATGCAACATCCAACACCATCGCTATGCGTCAGTTTCACATTCATCATTGAGCTGCAGATGCATTAAGGCTGAGACTCGCTACCCAACACAGAAAAGTCACATCAGCAATTCCTGTAATGATCCAGTAGCACTGATCAGAGGAGACTGCCATGCTGATTCCTTCCATTCAACTCAAGTTCTTTTTTGTAACATGAAGAAAGAAGAGAGATTCACTATACAACGAAATTCATACTTTGTGGTTCCTTCTTAGCACTACTGAGAAAAACACATACACACAACAGCCGGGAGGGAGGGCGGTCTCTCACGCTTGACATCCTCCTCCTGCCCTACAAAATATATAATTTGACCAGGGGTGTTCTAACTTCTGCATAAGACTGTAACAAGGTTTTGTTACCACAGCAATAATATAATATTGTGCAATGTGTTGGTAACATTGTGTTGTTTGCATTGCTCTCATTTTGCTTAGTGTACCTGCAGCTTTGCTGAAGAGTAAGACCCAGGCCACTTAGATTACATCGCATAATGCTCCAAAGTCCTGTCGATGCCATTGATCTGGATGCTACAGCTATCAGAGTGTTGGTGTGGCACTTTCCTTCACGGCCTGATAACACATTAAGGTCAAGAATCTTGACCTAAAGACTCCCTGATGCCAAAGGGAGGCTTATTTTACAAGCGTAGGCTGATTTTAGGGTCCTTCTAGCTGGCCTGCAGGCTTAGCCCTCGTTTAACCCCCATCTGAAGGCAGAGGAACAGTATTAGCCCTGTTCTACCTCAACCGGCCTCTCTGCCTCTACGGCCCCTGACTCAGCGCTTTCCAAGCAAGAAAGAAAAAACGTTCAATTATGTAGAAAGCCTTGGAGTAAATCTGCACCTCTGGCAAGCAGGCGGATAGGCAGAGAGAGAGAGAGAGAGAGCGAGGGAGGGAGGGAGAGAGAGAGAGAGAGAGAGAGAGAGAGAGAGAGAGAGACTCAGATGCTAGAAGGCTGAACAGCATGCTCTGTTCTTGGGAAGGATCTTCTCAAACTAGAATCCGAACAGGAATCAGGTCAGCAGATGAGGGGATGGGACTGATAATGACAAACTGATGTGAAAATGGAGGAAAACAATAACAGACATGAGAGCGTGTGAGAAAGTATAAAGTTCATCTGGAGGAAAACATCTGAAGAACAGTAAACATCTGCACAATGATCTCAGAGTCATATCACTATCGGCAGATAATTGTTCCTAAAAAATTATTAGCATCATAAATGTTAACAGATATGTATTAACCAATGTGTATTTACTGTACTTCAGAAGAGCAGAATGTGTAGGCTACAGGAGGCTTGCTAAAATGTGGGCATTTT